GTTTTTTTCTTCGGAAACAATTTATGTATGCAAATTATTAATATTGAAAAACGGCACTGACATAAAAAAAGAAGAGAGAAGTTGAGATGCGCCCGTGGGAAAGCAAAATTCACGACAACATGTTTTGTTTTTTTTTCGCCTAGGGGGCCTAGCGATTTGTTAATTATTATTAGGCAAGGAAGTTGGTGCAAAATAGAGGAAAAAATGATGTAAAATAGTACGGGAAACGGAGCATAATATATTAACTTGTGACTTGTGGAAGTTTGATTATAATATTGCAAGAAGTTCTTGCCGTAGGTACATCAATTACTTAGAGATAAATTGACAGAATAGCGGTAATGATCGAAGTTTTGAACTATTTCCGACTTGATAATTTTTCTACCGATGCAATCAAAAGAATATTCGAAATATTCGAACCTCAAAATCTCGAAACCTACGTAGAACTGATGCCAAGAAAAAAATTTCGGAGATTCTTGAACTCATAAAATAGAAGGTTAGATTGAACATTAAACTAAATTTACAAGCTGAAAGAAAATCGACAACAAAACTAAATAACTTAGAAACTGTGGAAGTTATAGCGAACCATCTTGGTACAGTTTCTAGAGAATAAAATGCCCTTCCAAAAGACGTGAAAGTGTCAGTGTAAACAGCTTAGGAGAGATCGTGTCACCCTGTCTGATTCCTCTATTCAATAAAATTTTCTCAGTGGTCAGTTCATCATCGATATTTACTTGCATTGTGGAATTTTCATATGCATGATTTATTATTCTGTTCTTTCTAGAATCGATCCTCGTATTATGATGCATAGCATCTAAAACTGCCCATGTCTCAACAGAATTGTGATAATCGACAAAAGCCAAATGTAAAGGAATGTTGTATTCTGAAAACTTCTCGATCAAGGTTCGTATAATCTATATGTAATCAATAGTGCTGAAGCCTTTCCGAAAACCTGCTTGTTCAACTGACTGGTAGGAATCAAATAAAGCATTTAGTCTATTTGTGAGTGTTTTCGTCAACAGCTTATATAAGATAGACAGCAAAGTAATAGAGCGGTAATTCTCCAGGTTAGAGGCATCTCCCTTCTTGAATATAATAGTAACTTTGGCGTCTTGCCAGGCTTCGGGGATTTTTTCTTCTTCTAGACATTTATTAAGTATAATGACTAATGAGGATGGCTTTTTCCAATGTCTTCCTTCCGATTTTAAGTATCTCGCTCGTAATTCCATCGTCTCCTGGAGCTTTTCCGTTCTTCAGCTGTCCTATTGCGGTTCTTAACTCACTTGTAGGTACATCTATTCATCAATATTATGTTGTTGAACTGTTCAAGTAAGACATTCACCTGAAACGTGTAGTTTTTAAACTAATGAGAATAACTCACATTTGAGTGAGTCAGGTTAGTATCGTAATTAAACAACATATTGATGAATAGATAAGGTCCACCCATAAGTTCCGGAACAATTCACTCATGTGTACTTGAATAACTTGTCACAATATATTACTAATTTGGTAAAGTAACATTACTAATTCCTGTTAAAAGGCAAATTGACAAAAAGTGGATGATCTTACAAATTCTAACTATATACTAAGTTATTGTTCAAGTACAAATAAGTGGATTGTTGTGGAACTTATGGGTGGACCTCGGCGGGGCGAGCGCAGCGAGTTCCGCAGCCATCTATTCATCAATATGTTGTTGAACTGTTTAAGTAAGACATTCACCTGAAACGTGTAGTTTTTAAACTAATGAGAATAACTCACATTTGAGTGTCAGGTTAGTATCGTAATTAAACAATATATTGATGAATAGATGGCAGAGGTCCACCCATAAGTTCCGCAACAATTCACTCATTTGTACTTGAATAACTTGTCACATTATGTTACTAGTTTAGTAAAGTAACATTAGTAATTCCTGTTAAAAGGCAAATTGACAAAAAGTGGATAATCTTACAAATTCTGACTTTATATAATAAGTTATTGTTCAAGTACAGGGTGTTTTTTTATGTATTGACACACCACCTACAGCCTTCACCTTTACAAGTAGATGAAAGGTGTAAATACAAAAGTTGTACTACAGTATTGGCTGAATTTTTAGAATCCATGGGTCAGAAACAAAAATTGAATGTCAGAAATTTGAAATCTTGCATGCTTTCAGCTTTTTTCAAATGGGATGCCCTATATTTGGTTCTATATTCTTGAAGAGCACAATTTCTCGATTCCAAAACTATATAGTTTGTCTATATTTGGTTAAGCCGTCTCCAACATATTTGGTTCCAAAAATTTTAAAAATACTATCAGAGAAACCAAGTACCTCAAATTTTACCTGCAGTTTTCACCTGTACAGGTAGCGGTTCACAAAATCAGTAGTAGGTTAGTATATCTTATTCACAATCTATAGCCCAAAAATAAAGGTAAATTTATCACCTTTCCCTATCAAATAGCATTGAAAGGTGATAAATTTTACCTTTACCTTTGGACATCGGATTGTGAATAGATAATATTTTTACAATTTTTGGAGCCGAATATATGAGAAACTGTTCAATTAAATATAGGCAAACTATATGTATATTTTTGGAATCGGAGCATTGTGCTCTTCAAGGATATAGAATGAAATATAGGGCATCCCATTTGAAAAAAGCTGGAAGATGCAAAATTTCACATTTCTGACATTCAAATTTTGTTTCTGACCATGGTTTCTAAAAATGCAGCCAAAACTGTACAACTTTTGTATTTACACGTTTCTTCTACCTGTAGAGGTAAAGGCTGTAGGTGGGGTGTCAATATATAAAAAAACACCCTGTATCTAGCCAATAATAGTCCGAATGTCCATTCTTACCATTCTCTCTAGAGAAAAAGTGCAGCGAATCGAAAGCCGGTAATTACTAATATTTGAACTATCCTGGGCACTTGAATTATTCACAGCGATTCAAAAAACGAATATACTTTAAGTTTTGATGTTACCGGGCACTTCCAGAAGCAATAAGGAACATAGTAATAATAAGTATTTTGAAAACTACCGGCATAGATAATTCTTCTAGAACCAAGAGCTGGCAATAATTAAACTTTGTTTTGATTGTCTCTGGAAACATTATCCAGATATTCAAGAGCCGGTAATAGTTAAAACGCGACTCTCAATTGCTTCTAAAAAAATAACCAACAGAACAATAATCAGTATTAATTAAAATTTTGGGCTTCAATTGTCGTCACAACAATTATTTAACGCAACAACATTCCTAAAATGAGTTCAAATTAACCTCTAAAAACCGGAGAATAATTTTATTTTTGAAACAAAATTTGCAAATGTCCATGGAAAGCTCAGCATTCATAGTAATATTTGATTAGCAATTCTCCCCTTCCATTAAAGACAAAGAACACACATTGCGAGGAATACATAGACCAATGCTATCCTATTAAGGGCGCAGATTAAATACATCTTGCAGCTTTCACATCAGAACTGAGAAATAGAAACTAATGAGTACCTAATGAGAAATTAGTAACTTTTCTTGTGAAAGATTGGGGAAATCCTGGAGTTTTGTATTATGAATATAGACTTTGGGGAATTTGTGATGTTTTCTAGCCCTTATCATTCACCAGTTTTTGATAGGTAAATGTTAAAACTATCACAGTTCAAGAAGTCGAAAATAAAAGTATGTATCGGCCACTGGAAAATCTCCGTCATAGAATGTTGATTCCTTAAGGCGTAAGAAAAAAATATTCGAAATTCCTCATTAATATTATTATTGTCCATTAATATTATTGTCAATTCCCACGCCACTGAAGGTAACTAATTACGTCCCACAATCTCGGAACCACAACTCTTAAAACCTAATGAGTTTTTCTCCTGGCCATTTTCATAAAAGCCTTTTACGCGTCAAAATTGTTTGTTTTTTCTTGTGGTCGTTTCGTTCCATAATCCACCGTAAAACTATGTCTTGTTAATTTGCATATTTTATAAAGTTATTTGTTTCTTTATTGGCATGGCATTTTTTTTTTTGTTTTAATTTTGTCTCTCCCTGCCTACTGGCTTTTTTGAATTTTTCAAATTAAAACCCTTTCAGCCTTCTCAACGTCCACACACATGGTCATTTTACGAAAAGGCATACGACCATATGGCGAGTACCATTGGTACCCAATTAAACGATTTTTTTTTTCAAACAGTTAATTGCTGAATTAATTTACGGGTTGGTACTCGTGTTTGTGTCACGAAAATTATGTAAGAATGGTAATTTTTTTCGGGTTCCGTTGGTATAACCGGGTGGTTATCATGGTATCCGGTGTTTTTGAGGGAGGCATTGATTTAGGTCCTGTTGAATTATTCAGTTTTTGAAGAAAAGGGTTGCTGTTGTTGTCACTTAATTTATCAATATTAGTAGGGCAATTTGTCATAATATAGTAATAGGAGTGTTAACACTCTTTAATCTTTGTTCTTTCTTTTATGTATGCACATTGGTACTGTTTCATGATTAAAAGCAGTTGGAATTACCAGTAAAATTGGTGCTTTGAACGTGTTTGAACATCAGTTCACAGATGACCAACGAATTCGCGTTCTAAGTTGTCAAAGACAAGGAAGTTTATAGGAGAGATCAGAAACTTTAATGTTATTGATTGATTTCCAGACATATTTAAATAACAAGTAGATATATTGGGAAGTTGTGATGTGATATCTTACATCATCGCTGAGATTGATCTAATTTAAGTCGCAATTGATACATTTATATTTAAGGTGAACTAAATTCAACTGATGTTCAGCAGATATCGAACCACCGAGTTAACTAGCTTTGTTAGTTATCATCCATGTTGGTCAAAGACCTCAAATTAACAAGTGCTTTAAAAGATTTAAAATAAATCAATAAAAACAATAAGTAATTAAAAAAAGGCTCAATCAAACTTTAACTCAAATACTCAAAAAAAATCTACAAAAGCTTGTAATTATTTTCATTAAAATTACAAACTTCTTAGTCATATACAATAACAACATTCTTCATTCTCTAGTGAAAAATTCCTACCTGTAATTCATTGACAATCTTCTCGGTCATAATTTTATCCGGACTGTTCGCTCCACTGCCAAACGGTGGACCCATCAAATTGGGCTGACCGAACGGATGGCCGTGGGCCGATTGTGGCGTGGGGCTGCTCATGTGACTCGGGTTCGGACTGCCCATAGGGTTCGGTACCCCGGAGGGCGGCGGTCCTTGACCGTTCGATTGTGGACCCGGTGGACCACCCATTGGACCTAGAAATAAAGGATCTGATAAGAATTTATAACATAATGTCCAACAACAGAGATGTACATTATGAGTTTAAACAACGATTATTCATTATAATATTGGTAGAAACTTTTTAATCTGGATTGAAATATCTATTCTTCCTGTCTTGCAAGGTAGCCTGCGAGACTTTACTTTAGAAGGGTCACTTTTGATGATGCGTCCTCCTACCTGGGTTGGAGCGACAGTCATACGCATGTCCAGCTTCATGGACCGTCGAATCTTGGATAATTGTCGACATTGTTTTCTGTAAATTTCCAAGTCTGATAACCATATATTCACATTGGTATTTTCCCCCCCTTGTTCCAGGCCTGTCCGAATTATTGTCTCCATGCAGCACTGAAGCCTGAGAAGGTTTATTGTATTTAGCTTGTGTGGTTTATTCCAACCACTCCAGTATTTTTGTGCCTTGTACGAGGTTATACAGGTCTTTCACTGGGTGGTGTTTCATTATTATTTCCGGGTCTACGTTTGGTTGCTCGGAAATGCTGTGTGCCACACAGTTTACCAGGATGTGTCTGGCTGTCTCCGATTTCTTATTGCAAAGTCTGCAATTAAAGTCTCCGTCGTACAGGTTCATTTGTTCAGGTGGACCTTTACTGATGTGTGGCCAGTCAAGAGTCCTGTTATGGTTCTGAGTCAGATCCTGCTCATTTGTAGCAGTTCTGCGGTCCTTTCGCTGCATGGTTGGTCGATGAATTCCCTATCCTGATTCTGCCTGGAAGTTGTCCAGTGTCACCGATGTTCTTAACGAATCCAGTCTTTGATGTGGCTTCTGGTTATACTTTTTGGTATCCCTAGAGCCGGTTCTGGCCAGATTAGTTTTTTCTCTGACCCTCGCTTTGCGAGTTCATCAGCTTTTTCATTGCTTTTGATTCCTCTGTGTTCTGGCACCCAGATAAGTTTTACTTTATTCTGGTCCGCCAGGGCCCTGAGTTCTTCCTGGCATTCCCATACTAGTCTTGATGACACTGTCTGGCTCGAAAGGGCCTTCAGTACCGCTTGACTATCAGACATTATAGGGATCTGCCTTTTGTTCTTCGCCGCGCATTGGAGTATAGCGTATACCTCTGCTTGAAAAATAGAAGCATATCTTCCCAGTGTATAGTGATCGCTAGAGTTGACGGAGTATACCTCTGCTCCGGTACCAGACGCAGTCTTCGACCACTCTGTGTACCTGGTCTGGTCTTGTTTTTTGGTCTCCGTTATACCATGTTCCCATTCAGCTCTGCTTGGGTAGCTCACCTCGAATGGTCAGTTCAGGCAGTATCGTCTTGGCATGTAGTCGGTCCTCATGTTGAAAATCTTTCCTCCCACGAGTTCTACGATTGCCATGTGTTCCGTCCTTCTGTTGGAGGTGTTTATCGGCTGCAGTCTGTGCGCTCCCATCCTTGTCTCTCTCTATATCAGTATGTGTAGAGGTGGGAGGTCTAGGAGGGTCTCCATAGCTGCTGTTGGTGTGGATCGCATTGACCCCGTTATTCCTGAGAAAGGCCAGTCTTTGCACTTTGCTAAGTTGGCGTAGGGCACTTCCCTGCAGTGTCTTGGGCCATCATACCAGGGAGGCGTATGTCAAGATATGTTTGACCATCATGTTATATATCCAATACAGCATGTACAGTCTTAAGCCCAATAATTTTCCATGCAAGCGTCTGGCTATCATGAGTGGAGTGATATTACCGCTTTTTTGGTGGTGTTTTCCAGATGTTGATCCCAGCTGAGTTTTGAGTCCAGTGCCCCCAAGTACTTGACCTTGCTCGAAATCTGTATATTTTCACTCCTTAATCTAAAAGGTCCCAGGTCTTGTATTTCATGCCTTCAGGTAAATGCCACGATGGTGGATTTGTTGGGACTAATATTTAGCCCTTCTCTATCCACCCACCAATAGGGCGTAGTGATCATGTAGTGATAACAGCTAAAACAAAAATCCAACTGGCTTCTAAGCCAACTAAAAATATTTATAAAAGAAATTTCTGGAAAGCAAATTATGATGATATTAACAAGTACCTACATAACTGAACAGTTAAATGCCTGCACATGCCAAATTGATGCAACACAGCTAATAAGTTTAGTGACGAAAACTATTGAGCTATATGTACCTACCCTTAAAACCTAAGCATGTCAATTCTAAGAAACCTTGGCTTAACTGAGAAGTTTTTGAGCAAATCAACATCAAACGAAAACTCTGGGATAGGTATAAAAGGACAAAAACAAACACAGATTATGATCATTACAAACGACAAAATAATGTAACGAAGCAGATCTTGGACCAGGCTAGGCAAGAATATGAACAGAATTTATTGCAAGCTCCTGTTAAGAAATTTTACTCCTATATAAAACATTTCCTTAACTCCCGTCTCCAGAATTTTGCGCTCAGAAACACTAACATGAATCAGACTACTTACGATGAGACTGAAATTGCCAATTGCTTTGCAGACCAGTTCCAGAGAGTCTTCACTCAAGAAGATAACAACCTACCAACTCTTTCACCTGAACTACTCAGAGATAAGTAATATAGAATTCATCCCAGAAAAAGTACAAATGGCCATTTCTTCTCTAAAGGCGGAGTCTAGTCCTGGTCCTGATGAAATTCCATCTCTCTTTCTGAAAAACTGCTCCAAATCGCTCTCTAGTCCCATATAGCCACTATTCTAAACTCTATAATGAAAGGAGCTCCTATTGCAGAAATATGGAAATCCTCAATAGTTGTACCAATCTTTTGAAAGGGGGACAAAATGGAACCATCAAATTACAGACCAATAAGTCTTACCAGCGTACTCTGCAAATGCATGGAGAAAATCCTAGTGAATGAGCTAACAACTTTTTTACTAGAACAGCAAGTACTTAATACCTGATTCTCAGCATTGCTTCTTACCAGGAAGATCAACATTCACCAACCTGCTGGAAAGATTCAACAAATAGACTCAAATGGATGACAGTAATACATTATTTGACAATCAGGCCTATGATGTATCCTGTCCTGTTATTTTAACGGCTGTGTTAAGGCTCAACATCTATTTCCGTCTCTATTTTGACGTATAGAATAAACAGTGACAGATAACTTAACGCTGCCGTTAAAATAACAGAAAATGATACATCATAGGCCTGATTGTCTACATAGATTTTGAAAAAGCTTTTGATAAGTTACCTTTCAGGAGACTCCTGCTAAAATCGGAGCATAATGGAATACGGGGCAATGTGCATAGAGTTATCAGCGAACTTATCCACCTCATCCTTTGAAAACGACACAAATTATACGTGCAGAGCAAGTGTCCAATACCTACAAATGCAGAGCGATCTTGATAAAATTAAACAATGGACTATAAAATGGCAGATGCCATTAAACGAATCTAAGTAGACTGTTCTTCACGTAGGAAGAACTAATCCCAATAATAGGTGTACTATAGGAAACACTGAGGTGACTCCAGTCGAAAAACAGAAAGATCTAGGCTTAATAGTCACAAAAGACCTCAAATAGGAGTGCTACATCTCAACAGCTGTCAAAAAACTGAACACCTTGAGTTACCTTATAAGAAAGTCGTTAAAAACCCATCTAGTGATAGGATACTTAAGCTTTACAAGACATACATAAGACCAAACTAGAATATATGAAAAGTTTATGGAGTCCTTATTATGTCAAAGATATAGATCTTCTAGAGAAAGTTCAGCGAATGGTAACTAAAATCCCTTCAGAGCTCAAAAATCTCTCTTATTAAGAACGTTTACAGTGCATTAATCTCACAACCTTCTACCATAGATTCTACCAAAGAAGACAGGGTGGAGATTTGATTGAGACTTATAAAATAACTAGTCGTCATTACAAGTGCAATATCATTAACATCTTTATTCCTGCCGATAATGCGCACCTGAGAGAGCAAGAAATTGAACGAGAAAAATGTTCCAAATTGTTAATACGCAATTTCTTAACAAACAGGGTTGTGTATTCGTGGAATAACCTAAGTCACGACACGGTAAATGCCACTAGTGTTAACTTTTTCAAAAATCGTGTAGACAGAGATATATGTGAAAACAATAACCAGTTTGTCCACTATCCCCAGTAAACTAGTGACAAAATAATACCATATCTGAGATACAATGGATGTGACAATTAATTATGGACTTAAAATTGTGAACTGATGTAAAAACTAATCAATAGACTCATCGGCTTCTATTGTAAAATAATAATAATAATAATAATCTGCGCAACTGAGACCCCTATATAACTCTTTGAAATAAAAATCCCAAATGCAAAAGCTAAGATAAAAATTAAGTTCTTACCTGTAGGTGTCAATTGTGGTCCCTGAGCCCCACCCTGCGGATTCTGCGCGTTCTGAGGCGCCCCAGGCTGTTGCTGCTGATGATTCTGTCCGTTTCCCTGAGGATTTTGTTGTTGTTGTTGCGCATTCATCGCGTTCTGTTGATTTTGTACTTGCTGCGCGTTTTGAGCGTTCTGCGCATTCTGTGCCGCCTGATTCTGAGCCTGCTGCAAGGCCATCGCGCCGGGCGTGACCACGTGAATCTGACTCGAATTCGATTGTTGACTGGGCGAATGCGCTGGTATCGAATTAGTGCTGCCCGGAACCGGCGAGTTCTGATTCGAATTGCTCAGATTCTGCGGCATGTTCTGAGGCGGGCCTCGCGCCTGCGTCCAAAAATCGTTGTTCATTTTAAATATGGGTCGATTATTGACCTCGGTCATTTGGGGACTAATTTGTAACGGTTGTAACGGTGTAGACCTCAAATCCAAAGCGGCGTTCTCTTGCAACTTAAACGAGTTCTGTAACCATTTTGCTACCAAATTTTCATGTTCTACTTTGAGGTTATTGAGGATGTTTTGTTCCTCCGTGGTGAAAATTTTGGCTGTTATTTTGACGACTCGGTTGTCAAATGATTAGTGAGGATCGGGATCCTCACGCGGGTTTAATTAGAAGTATGTTTGCTCGTGATGAGGTCAGCTTTGGATAGGTTGACCTCGTACGATTTGTAGGTCTGATGTAGATAGGAACTTTGGGTTTCAGTAGGCAAGAAAAGGCATGTGAAGGTCCTTCTCTTTGGTTGGATTCTTGGTTATCTATAAGAAAAAAGAGAAATATTTCGATTAGGTCATGGTAGAAAATCATCAATTAACTGTGTTCAAAGTGTAATGAACTTTAACTAAAAATGCATGCCTTATTGGATATTTTTATGCTTCATGTTATTCAATCATTATTATTTATTTTACTCAAGTTAGATTTCAAGTGAATTATCGGGATACAAAGTAAGGTAATGTTCAAAAAATTAAATTTCATTAAGATGATTTATTTACCTACCTACGTATACCAGTGCGCGGTGGTCCATATCTCCTATACTAACGGAGATCGAAGAAAAAACTAAAGACAAAACTTGTAGATAAACATGAGCACTACATTCCTAAATTATTTTCCAGTATACAGGGTAGCCCAATAAGTAGTGGTGACACAAAGTTATGCTTTTTTAATTGACTCCCCCTGTATATTATGACATTTCGGGATTCTGCGGAAAATTCTAGACATATTTTATGTACAATGTCATATACCTATCTTCAACTGTTTCAGAAATATTGACAGTGGAAAATTTGCATCTTTGACAGACTGTGAAACCTGAACGGTCAGCAAAACCGATCATACATTTTTATGTTAGTTTTTGAATTTAATCCATGATTGAAAAATTAGCTTAAATTATTAATCTCCGGTTAAATTCAAAGTTGATGTTCAAATGATAGCTTATGAAAATCTATAACAAGAATGTAAAATCAGATTTGCTATAAAATCAACCGTTTAGGTTTTACAGTCTGTTAAAGATGCAAAAAAAGTCAATTTTAAACTGTCAATATCTCCGAAACAGTTGAGAGAGGTATATGAGATTGTACATAAAATATATCTAGAATTTTCCACAGAATCCAGAAATGTCTTTGTATCACCACTACTTATTGGACCACCCTGTATTACGGAAAAGAATTTGGGAATGTAGTATTCATATTTACCTACAAGTTTTGTATTTATTTATTTTTTTTCGATATTCGTTAGTATAGGAGATATGGACCACCGCGCGCTTAGTAATAGGTTCATGTGAGTTGGTTAAATAAATTTTGGAAGTTTTCAATGGGTTGGATACAAAGCAATTTATTTACGTCCTGATTGAATCAAATCATTATTAACGCGTAGTATATTATTTATAATGTATATCACAGTTATTAGAAATTCTAACTTAATTTTATCAGAGCTGCGCTTTATGCACACGTATGGCTATGAGTGCACTAATTAATGAAATAATTTCAGTCATTTAAAGATCCATCAGTCTTGATTCAAGTTTAAGTCCCGAGTATATCTAATTTTCAATTTGAATTAATTTGTCTTTGGTTTTTGAGGCAAATGTCTGTATAAATTATTAGCTGAAATATGAAGCTCATAAGCTTGAATCAATCTCATTATTGTATTGTATTTGTAAAAACTTAATAATTCTGAATTACTTTGAGCAATTACCTATAGTAATTTTACGATTTTCTTGATTTTTCTATCGTAGGTATATAATTTACTAAGATATCTTCATTTACAAGCAATGTTCTTTGGTTTTGATTTCAATTAAGTTTTGGCTAATTTTAATCCTAATAATATTTACTATACTTTGTCCAAAATTTTTTAAATTTACAGGTAATTTCATCATACATGTGTTTCCTGTTAAATACTTCTTCATTCTAAGTCTTATATTTGATTTTTTTTTAACTTAAAAGACTTCTGAAAATTTAGAAATTTGTTAAACGTTTCAGTACTTATACCGTAAAAATATTGAAAAACTTATGTGTGACCAACATGATTTTAACAACATTGAAAATTCCTAACCTGAGTGAAATTTGAAACAATATCTTACATATACAATATATATTTAGTAGGATTAAAAGTTTTGAGGATTGAACATTGCATGTCTATCTAAAATATTCAAAGTATTATTACCTACTTATGTTTTCTTTGAAATTAGGATTTTAGACTTTAAATTTTCCAATCAGTTATAGCTTTAACTTCGATAATTGGAATAAATGAATAAATTTTGATTTGTTTAATTTTTCTAGCAGAATTCAAGTTTTAAACAGTGAAATTTATTGTAATAAGTTTTCTGTCACTCTTATCTGGATCCACTTCGAGCAAGTTTAAAAATTATGCACAAAATAATTTTATTTCAAAATGAAAAAGTTTTCGCACATGAACAAGTTGAAGTTTACAAAAAATGAAAAAGTTTCATACAAAATTTCAATAAAAAGAACTTTTTATTCAATTAGCAACTTCTAAAAATAAAAGTCTGGGCAACTTCGGAGTATAGAAAATACGATAAAACTGTAGGTATTTAATTTTTGTGGAAATTTACACAGATTTTTCATTTTCGTGCTTATAAATGTTTGAATGTTTTTAAATATTCTAGATATGAACATAAAAGTAGCAACTTAGAACTTATACATTTTAAGGGAATTTTGAGAAGGTTTTATTTAAAAGATTTTTTTGAGAAATTTGAAATATTTAGCAATAAGTATTAGGTGGGTACCTAAAGGTAGATACTCAAATCAAGAACATGAAACAGTAAAACGGAAAAATAGCAAAAACCAAGCTAAATTTAAACTTTTAGAATGTTTTACAGACAGTTTTCATCAATTTTCACATGAAACTATAAATCTTTCGTAATATGTATTTAAATTTATGTAGAGATATTTGAATTTATTTTATTTGCGTTTTTTCTTTAAATTTCTTATTACTGAGTGAATGATGAATGTTTAGTTTAGGTAGGTATATAGGTAAAGTTTCATAAAACATATTGTGATACTTTTTTCAATTTTTCACTTTTTGTTATAAATTATTTTGATGCATGTTTAATATTTTATTCAAATATCCTTAAAAAATTAATAAAAGCATTTGAAAAACGAAAACTTGGAATAACCTCAAAGATAAGAAAGTGATGCTTATTTTAATTTGAATTTAGAGTTCAAAAGTGGAAGAATTAGAATAGATAAGAAAAATGTATAGGCTCAAAAACCTAAAAACTTGAACAAATTCAGATATAATAAACAATGATAAAATAATACAAAACATTTAATTAAAATAAAATAAATATATATATATTATAAAAAAGCAAAGGTCGAAAATTACTAAAGTTTCAAAAAATTTCTAAAGAAGTCCTAATGGTACTCACATTGGGTATAAGTTCTCTAATAAGAATTAAACCAATAGAATATATTGCACATAAAACCAAAATACTGATAACACAATAATTTCGAAGAAAAATCCACAATCGGTATATTCCAAAAAAACTTTTCCTGTGCGAACTTTTTCGCCAAAAAACAGTTCACAAAGTCTTGCAGGTTAGTTAATTATTATGCACGCACTAACGAATGAATTTGTTAAAAAAATATTTCACTTTTTTGAAAATTATTAATAATTTGAGACTTTGAGAAATTTTTCCGCGAATCAAGATATCCCGTCGACGACGTCGTCGTTATTCGCGAACACCGCGTCTTTCTTGCAAGAAGCGTCGCTGATAACTAAGAAGGCATCGCGACGCCAAAATACTCGAAGAACAACCATCTCCTAATTTCGCTTGCTAAACACTAAGAATATACTCTAAAATATACCCCCTGACAGAGACAGTGTATACGCAAGAACAACGTCCGAAACAAGGACAACCAGCGCGCCTAAACAGAGAAACGCTTATGGGAACTTCTAATATTTCCAAGTGAGAGACGGTCTAAGGGTGGCAACAGTGAAGGACTTACGCAAGACGCCGCGAGCGCGAGCGAGACGGAAAAACCTTAGAAGAGAATCTTGAACACAGCGCGCATGGCAAGGAACTAAGGAATACAGGACCGCGCTCAAAGCTTCCCCACCCCCGTCATGGAAAAAGTGAAAAAGGGGGCGCAAAAAAAGTGTCTTGATTTTTTTCGTATCCCTCCTACGCGACGCGTGGCGTCGTGGGTGGGGGACGCTCGCTAGGGGTACGAAAGAAAGTAGGGGAAACGGAATTGTAGGGGTTGAGGGGAGACGGAGCGTGTGCCGTTAAAATTGCGAAGAGAGAACGGACCCCGATACTGGACTGGACAAGTGGACATAAGGGGTGAACAATTTTTGGGTACACGACGTGTGTGTGTTTTGTGGGCTCTATAATAACGGCGGCTCTTTTTTTGTTTTTTTTTTTTCATATTTATTGTTTTCAGTGGTGTATTTGCATAAAATACGACAGGTAAAAACTTAGATTTTCATTATCGTTTCAAGGTGTTTTGTATTATTGTTTTAAGTCTAAATTTATATATAATATTTTTTCATTATCTAGTCTTTTTAAATTTTAATTTTTTTGGTTGAACTAGGTTCATTTGCAATTCAACTAATCGAAACTATAAATTGTTCTTAGGATAATTTGTATTTTCAAGTTTTTCTTTTATAAATCTTTAAATTTCTCGAACTTTATTGAAGTTTTTTTCTTTTCCAATTATCGAGCCAAACATTTTCTTTTTAGGTCATTTAATTTAAAATCCATAAGAATTAGGAAATTCCATATTTATAAGTGAATAAAGATGTTGAATGTGAAGGAGTGCCATATTAGGACTGAATTCGAATGGTCCTTAACAGATGAAAACTTATTGACTATTGCAGTTTGTCTGAATTTTATTGAGAAAATCTGCGACTTTTCTTTTCTGATCGACTGATTTTTTTGATATTTGGTTTTTCTGTTTGCAAGGGCAAAATATGTAAATTATTGTTACTTTGTTATTAATTTAAAAAGTGTAGGTATTCGCGACTGGCCAGTTATAAATAGAAGGTATTTTCTGGGGTATGAGTAGCTCAAAAGATTTGAGACTTTTATTTAGCCCTAGTCTGATACCCCAGAAAATACCTTCTATAGTTATTAATTTAGGTACATACGTACTTTTCTGCTAATATAGGGCAAAATCTTTGATGCTGAATTTGATTTCGGATGTTTTTGATTCATGTTTTTTTGATACTAGCATTATCTTTTTAAGTTTCTTTTGATATTGTTAATTTGGCTTTGTCAACAGCTACTATCTATCTTTTTTCC